TAGGTAAAGACAACCCTTTGCCAAAGATTTTCACACTTACTACGACTTAAAAGAATTGGTGAGACTTCCAGAGGTCTCAAAAAAACCCCTAGAGAAGATGAATTGAAAGGAGGCCTGGTTACATTTAAAGTTTCAAAAAAAAATCCCAAGCAGGCAAGAAAATCTCTCTTTTGGTTCTCCTTTGCTCGTTGCAGAATGGACAGGAGGGAGTCCAAGAAACTCGTAATATTTATAAAATGTCATTGTTGGGATGTCGAGACGGGATGAAATACTGCTCTGCATTTGAGAGGACTAAATATGATCCCACTGGAACAAAGTTTGAAGATGTAATCAGAAGCAGCGTCTGCTGTGCTTTAGCATTTCATTTTCTTGGCAATTTCTAGTTGTAGTAATGGAAAACTAGATGATACTCTGGGAGGGAAAGGGAAATAAACTTTTTTACTTACTAATACAGTAAATTCAAATTCAATAGAGCAAGTAATAGAATCTGGTGGATAATATATTTCATTTTGAAGGATCAGAAAGGAGTTTTACATGTTTCTAAGCAATGACTTAGATATTAATAAACATTTAAGCATATCTTCACTTTGTAAAGCAAAACCCCACCTGGCCTTGAAGTCTTCTAAAGCACAAGCGGACTTTCCTGTTTAATTTTTAACATACTTTGAATTTAGCAATGTAAATATGTAAGCCCCTCATACCCTGCGGTGAGCGAAAGCTACCTCGCCCCCTTTTTAATGGTGAGGTGCTCCCACTTGCTGTGCGATCTATTCAGGTTTCACATACCCAGACCAGGCAGAAATTTATTTGCATCTCCATACCCTGGGTAGTAAATTCTGGCTGTGTCATCCCCGGATTGATTTCCCAAATTCCGTATCTAGTTTTCATTTCTAGAGTGGGATTTCTCTGGAATAACTAAGGACGGTTCGTTATTGTCTGAAGAAGAATTGCTCTTTGCAATTTCCGTAGTATTTCTCTGGGATTTTAGCAAGCTGGAGATCCTCTTCTGGCTTTATTACAAGTGGAAATGGCCGATTTTGTGACACTGTGAGATTATTAAGGTCTTTATGACACTGAATTCTTCTGAAATTGTACGTCTTGAAGAACTTTGTCACTCACGTCTCGTCCTGTCTGTCTCTCAGCTGGCGGGGTGGAAGAGGCAAAACATGTTGTGTTCGCTCAGAGAGGTGGGTCTCTCACCCACGCTCCTGTGAATGTTTTGGGGACAAACGCTGGAGCCTGTGGAAACCCGTGGGTGTTAAACACTTGTGAGAATTTTTGTGCGTAGCACCGTCCTTAAGGTGCTGTGAAAAACGAGCAGAAAGGTGGTGAAGGAGAAGCTTGGGCTTTGTTCCTTGTGGTTTCCAAAGAGCTGTGTGAAGTAAATAGGACTTTCATTAAAGGGAGATGATTTTCCTGGACAATAACATGAGGAAAGATGCTCCACAGCTTGTTTTAAAAAAACAAAAAAAGCCTGTATTTCATAAAGGTTCGGAGTTTGTTGCATTGGATCTCAGCTAAGCTTCGCTTTAAATGTCTATTTGGAGGCCTTTACAGGGGGGGTTGTAACGGGAACTGCAAAGGAGTAATGTAGAAGACCAAAAAGAACACGGTAAAAATAAACCATATTCTCTGAAGCAGGGCTTTGTTTGTGGTACGTTGTGGCCTCTCAGAAGTTGCCCACCGGGCTGAGGTGGGGAGGCTGGTGGATGTGAATGCTTTCTGCGGGAGCCGCTTTCTCCGATGGCGTCACCTGCGCGGATTTGAGGAAGAGTTTGTGTTTTGAAGTTGTCTTAATGTGAGATTTCTCATTCCCCACCCGTGTTACCGAAAAGGGTCGTTGGGTTTTGGTTTTTTTAATTGCCTTGAAAGCGTAAAAAACCCTCGAAAATTACATTTTAATTTTCTGCCACCAGAAGCCTTAATTTCTCCGTTTTGTTGATTTGAATGCGCACCGCAAATGATACATTAGCAAACATATTTTCTGTACTGTGTCATGGAAGAAGCTGTGTGATCCCATAGGAAGCAAACCAGATTTTGTTTGTGCCCTGCCCAACCTCCTGAAAAAAAATCCCTCCCCCCCCCTTTTTTTTTTGTAGAAAATGATCTTTTCTGGGCTGCTTGTCAGGGTGTTCTAATGCGCTAAAAAAAAAAAATTCTGTGCGTTTTCATTCAGTTTTGTAATGTCAAATGGCTTTACACATTTCTTGCTGTTCTGTGTGTTAGCGTTTATTTTTAAAGCTTTGCTGCAGCGATGTATTGAACCACATGGCACTGAGCAGTGGGACGTTTTGCTCTTAAAAGCCGGGCATGCGGCGAAGTACCTTGTTGAGACGGGATTTAAACTTATTTACAAAATCCTGGCGGAAGTGTTTGACTTCCCATAGGTGATGTCCAGAATGTGAAAGTGTGAATGCCGCATGGGTATGTGTGTGTAAATTTACAGATAAGTGACCCGAGATTTCCTTTTGCCTTCTTTTTTAATTTATTTTTTAAGAGTGCTTATTCAGTTGACTGATGTCGAGGATGCTGGAGGATTTACTAGTTGGATGAATAATTTCCTATAGCTTGGAATGTAAAATAGATCTTGCTCTGGAATTAAAAAAGCAACTTCAGCTAAGATGCAAAGTGACTTTTATTTTCACCAGGATTTAGAAGAGCATAGTCATTCCTGTAGTGTGGAATTAAAGCGATGGTAAGAAGTTGTACATACAGAAGTCTGGAAATGGATTTTTTTTTTCTAATTGTGATAGTTATACTTAAAGTTCTAATGACAAGTGGGCAAGGCTTTCATAAAGTAATTAGAGATTGTTTTTTAATTTTTGATTTCTCTGTGATGAAATTCTTTCTGGAGCAGTGAGTTACAGTTGGAAAGGAATACGTATGTGTTATTTTGTGTGTCTTAATATTGAAATAAACTGATGAAAAATACTGCCAAGAGAATTTTAATCATGGGAAAAACAGGCTCCCTGAAACCTCCCATGGAGGCTCCAGTGTATTTTACTTTGTCGGGAACTTTCTTAGCTTGTTTAAACAACTGAAGGGAAAGTAGAAAAAAGTGAATTTAGTTTCATTACATAATGCAAACCTTTCCCTACCATTGTCTTCATGTCCTCTTTCCCGCTTAGTTTGTTGGCCAGCAACTGATGAATCCCACTGGAATGGGATTTAGGGGTTTTGAGTGGGTTGAGAGATGCCTTTGCTGGGGACAGCTGAAAAATCGGGAAGAATGAGGTTAAATGTAGCTGTTCAGTCTTTAAGAATCTGTGAGATGGCCTTTGCTGATGTTAAGTAATTCCACATAAATTTTGCACTGTAGAGATCACCTCAATATTTTAAATCTCTTCTGGTAGGACAACAGGGTTGAGCATGCGCCTGTTTGTATGGGAAAAAGAATTAGGCTAAGATTAAAAAAAAGAAAAATGCATAGAGTAGGAAGCCTCCTTTTCAATTACCACAAAGGCAACAGTAAATCCTGTAAGAGTCAGGTGAAACACCTAATCTTTACCTTTTGTTCACGTAAAGCCATGTGCTGCTTTGATGTTCTCTCTGTACAGGGAAATGTGAATTAGGGAAAGGAAAATTAAAAAATCCAACTCGGATATTCCCAGGTTTTTGTTACCAACTGTTGAGCATTTTAACTTTGTTCTTTCGTGTGTTTCTGTTCATGTCAGCCTGCGCTGCTTCTCATCTAAATATAACGTAGACCATCCTCTTAAACTTTTTTTTTTTTACCCTTGGGAGTATATCAAGTGTCTTGAAATTGAGCACAGGCAGAAAATTTTCAGATAGCTTTGAAGAGAGAGGAGATACTTTTGTGCTGAAGAGATTAAAATACAGAAAGCAAACCTTTATACCCTCCCTTCTCAAAAACGGCCGAAGACGACTACCTGTACATGCACGCACACGCATGTTTACATACAAATAGATCCTCCTGTGGAAAAAAAATGTAATATATCGCCCGGAATCTAAGATCTCCTCGCAGCTGGCGAGCAAATGGTGTCTCCGTCCCCTTGGGACGGGAACCAGCGACAACCCGTCAGTCACCTCAGCCCGGAGGGAGGCGAAGCCGCGCTCTTTCGCCCGAGCGCCGCCGCCGAGCTGCTGACAGAGCGGCTGGGGGAGGGCGCCAACTCGCATTACCTCATCTGTATACTCTAGAGTAATCTATTAAAAATGTGCGTTGCATAATAGATTTTTATCTCGCTCTGAAAATCCGCCGCTTTAGGTCGCCTCATAGCTTCTGGTGGCGGCGGGAGCCCGTCCCGGCGCTGTAATGGCGGCACGGTCGGGGCGGGTCGGGAGACACAAGGCGGCCGGGGACGCGGGGTGTTTTTAAGCGGGGGTGGTTTCCTCGCCGCGCCGCG